CGATTTCGTTCCTGTATTCCTGTTTCACCCTTCGCGTTCGAATAATAAAAATGCGATGGCTTAAGATACGAGCGAGACGCAATGTCTTTATACGCGTATTATCAATATGCGCCAGATTTTGTTGTAATATAATTGATAATTGAACATATAACTCTCTACAACAAATGCAGTTTTGATTTTTTTTTAATTCTAAATTGTGAAATTTAAAAGAATTAAAAAGCAAATCGAAGTAAAATTTATAGAGAGGTGGCTTTCTGCATTACATTTATAATTAATGTTGAATTTAACAATTTTTACAACTTACATTAAATTGCCAAAAAATTAAGTCATTGAAGGGCTTTTATGAAATAATTAGGAAACTCGAAATATTAAATCTTTTCTTTGTCACGAGCATTTTAATTCAATTAATAATTTACCGGATTCATCGTCTTTCATATCTGTTTTTAATGCATATATATATAAAACTTTCTTAGAAAACGACAGGAGGATCATAGTGTCTCTGCATCTTCGACTTTTCATGCTTTTTTTACTATTGGACGTTTCTTTTGCAGTAGTTACGTTGCACCTGTTGCACATCGTGCCGTTTGGTTCCAGCAGACTCCGTTATTGAAGCCAAACGAGTCGTTAATCGATGATATTCTGTACAGTGAAAAATACGTGTGACATATTATCATGCACTAAATCTGCGATTAATCGAGACAGAATTTCCGCTTTTGATTATTAAGACTTTTTCAAACACTTGGATTTTGATAAAACATTTCTAGTTATAAATATTGTAGTTATAAAAAAATTGGCACATAATTATTTAATTATAAAGTAAAATTTTCGTGATATTTATATTCATGCACATGACAGCTGAGCAAAATTTTTCTCTTACGAACGTTCGTAATCTAGGCGAAGTTAGCGATATTCGTTGTCGAACGGGTTGATTGCAACGGAATTGGCGAGTAGCAGATATCCAGATGTAGTCGCATGTTGTAATCATAGGAGTAGGTCGCGAAGACATTAATTCGTGCCGGTGCTTCTCGTTGGCAGACCACGTCGACCCACTTCCCTTCCTTTCATGCTTTCTTCCTTAAGGTAAAGTCGAAGGCACTAACGAAGACACGGATGAATTTCATAACCCGAGAAAAGTCCACGAGGACTCTATTACGCTTCGCGACTCTTCTTCATTTCTCTTTTCATTTTTCTCTTTTTTTTTTCATTTCTTTCTTCACTCGTCATACCCCATCCTAACGCCAAGTTGCTAATTTTTATGAAACGCTTCGCTGTTCCTTTCTTTATTTCTCGCTTATCTGCGTATATATGTACGTATTTCTCTCTTTATTGCTAGAAAGAGTACGAAAATCTCTTTGAGCCTTTTACGCGTTCACTTTATTTATACTGGCGTTTTGATGATTAAGTCAACCTAATTAATTTTACGAACGTTCTTTGGGATTATAAGAGACTTGTAATTTAATCACGATATTATAGCGATACCGAAGATGCGAAACTAATATAATTGTATGATTTTTAAACAGGGTAATAATTTATTAATCATTATCTACTTGCATATATCAGTAATGATTTTAAAATCAAAGATGAATAAAATTACATATCGATAAAAACGTTGTTAAAATAAAATAGAAAAACATGTTTAGAGTAACATAAAATTCATGTTTCTAAAAATTGCATGGACAATTTTAATTAATATCATTAGTTGAATACTTCAGTCAAACTAACAACGGAGATGATAAAATGTTTGCAATAATAATACATTCTTAAAATTGTCAAAATAAATTGCCAGGAAGATCAACAAAGCGTCAATTTGTTAATTCGGTAGCCCATCGAATGAGCCATTGTGACTTGTCTCTTATAGTCTTGGTTAGGTAAACGACGGTAAACCGTAAATGCTTACAGCATCGTCTAAGTTGGACCAAGGAGAGCGGATGAGGGGAATCAGCGGCTCTCTTGAGCCAGTATCCGTTAACTCGAGTCAATTACTACACAGAGAAGCATGGTTCGTCGTGCACGGGGGTAAAGTGGTCTCTCGGCGTGCTTCAACTTCCAATTAACTATGGCACGACGACAAACAGACTGACGATGACAGCTGAAATCCAATATTCTCTATTTTATTATCGTATTATAGTATTATCACAACCACGCGGCATTATTACGTTACTTTACAAATATTGACCGTGACAATAAATTGTATCCGCTTCTTCATTTAATTAATTTAATTTATGTGTATTTTTACACGTCTTTTTATCACATCATTATCGTATTGATAGATGTTAATTGCTATTACGAACATCAGTAATTTATTTATTGTATGTATATGTGATACTTTTATAATCGCAATTCTATATTGAATTGGGAGTATCATAAAAATTTTATCGAAGCTTCGAATTGTGGTACAGTCTTTGGGCGGTAATAGTCTTTGAGATATTGCTTCATGTCATCCGACGCGATAATCTCAAGCGATTATTTCGTAAACTCTCTAATTCCACGCGTCTCAAATAATTGCTACCTTGTTCCGATTGGATGTGATTCGATCATTTATTAAGCGGACGCTAATAATTCATCACAGGTAATTCGGAGCGCTCGCGAACTCACACGAATTGATGTTTGCATCCTTAATGCGTTTCCACGTCGCTCTGGTGCGCACCGGCTTAGACGCGATTTGCGCTCTGCGGAAACTTCGTGTAGGTAGTTTACGAAACACGAGCATTTCACGTGGTTTTCCCACGATGGCTGCTGTAATCCCGATGTAGGTCGCGCGTTAATGACCAGTGCGTAGCAGCGAAATTCAATTGAATCGTCAGTTTCTCAAGAAACGAAGATGTCGCAGAAACATAAATGTCCTGCATACGCAAGTCGACGTGTCGTTCGCAAATTTTATCTCGAAACACATTCAACTCCTGAGGAACGAAAACCAGAATAAGATCTGCCATCGCGCATTTTACAGCTTAATTAAAATTACATTCTCGGAGCGTTAAACAACATTTTTTACAATTTACAAATTATAAATTATCGGTGTCTTATTTTTTTTTTTTTAAATATTGAACTCCAGAGTTAAAGTTGATGTAAAGCTAAAAAGAAAGACGGAAAAAACAGTCCCGATATCCTATATATCAACAGTCGGCGAATTACGAGCGACAGCCTTAATAAATCGGACAACCTCGTCAAGGTAGACGCGTATCGGCCACTCGTAATTTAGGACGGATCAAAGGTGCTGGTGGCGGTCGGGCGGATAGGTTTGCGAAGGGCGATCGGTCAGCAGGTTCCCAGGTGTCAGGTGGCGTTCGTCGTTCCTTCGCCAGACGCGCCGAATCGCCGAGCTAACCCGCTTCTCCACATTGGAAGCGACTAATGTCCTCGCTCATTTCCCACGATATATAGGCGGGCGCCACATTGATCCGCGAAGCACCATCCGGGCTGTCCAGCACGATATTAATGTTTAACTAGCGCGATCGTGTGTCTGATACATTACCGTTGCTCTCGGGATTGCGCGCGACATGGTACACGCTCGTTGCACGGCTGCTAGTTGCGCGAATAAAACATTGCGACTCGCGGGCTTTGGCTTTCGAATACGCTATTATTGCGATACTATCGTGTGCCGAATTGCCTTCCATTCTGTCGGTTGGGCGATATTTACCGTGTAATTGGAACGCAATGTTATTATCTTATATCTACGAAATATGTATAGAAATATATGTATAAATATATCCTTGCTTACATATATTTTAGATATTTAGATGAGACATTTTTGTAACGAAATTAAGTATTTTTCAATTTTTTATATGCCATAAATGGATTGCATATGTGTATGAGATATTTTTTATCTATATAATAATATTAATTGAATTATTTCTAATTTCGATATAACATCGCATATCGATTTTCGTTATTACCACACTTTTTAATGCACTGCGACTGCCCATACTCCTCTGCGTATCCGTATGCCATAGGCAGTTTGTCAAATTATGGGGCACGTACTCGGAAACAGATCCCTAATTCTGTTTCTAATAACCGGAGTTAGCTAACGCCCGGAAGCGCTTTGTACCGTTGACGTTCATGAATTGATGAAATTGCGAAAGCATTACAGAGACATTCATTTATAGAAATAAGTACCATATATATAAGACTAGAATAAAGTACGTAAGTTTAAAAGATTTAAAGCCTGTTAAATAAGAGTATCCATTTAGCCATCATTTAGCCGAAAAAGGGTCCAAATATGTACAATACATTCGGTCGATTTGGATTCATTTACAAAAATATAATTGCATTAATTAAAAGAATAAATTATTTATTATTCTAATTATTTGGCATGCATACTCGTTTTCCTACGAGCACATTACGCGCGGAGCAACAGATGTTTCCGAATAGAGGAAGAGCACGAGCAAAAGGAAGAACGAAGGAGAGAGTGAGAGAAGAGAAAGGTTTTTGGCGCCGTTAAACTGGAGCGCGGCGCCGTACGAACTTTCGAGTTGTTGAACGAATATTATTCTTATTTTATTCGCCGAGGGCGACAAGAACGGAAAATTTTGTCCGCACTTTGCGGTTGTCCGAGAACGAGCGTTTCCTAGTTCGGCCGACAATGGCGGGAAACTCCCGAAACGGAGAAACTCGCATTTTCGTGAGAAAGGACGATCAGTTTTCTCTCCTCAAAAAATTTCATTGATTACGTAATTCTGTATTCGTGAATCGACTGTATAAAATAATTTGATATAAAAAATTTCTGTATGCAAATCTTTAAATTCGAAATTGAGATGTATCTGTTACTACACTAATAGAAAGTGTGATTTATAGTTACGGAAGAAAAATTTTAATTTGCGCGATTTTGCGAAATGTGAGATGCTTAGAAATTAGATATTAATTGTCAGATTTTTAATATATTAATTTTGAATTATATCGCCTTTATTGCGGGTGCACTAAAGATTGAGGGTCCGAAAAAGCTGATAAATTTGAAAAAAAAATTATGAATAAATTATTAAAAAAAATATATTTTGTGTTTTCAGGTTCACTAGGCACATCAGTGTTCGATACGGATGTGTATCTAGTCGGAGCGAGCGGGGGCGTTTATGCCCTTCTAGCGGCACATCTAGCCAATGTTCTCCTCAACTATAACAATATGGAGTTTGGGATAGTTCGGCTCATTGGCATTTTCGTCATCGGTAAGTGGACCCTACTTCCTCGATCGTCGGCCCACGCATACAATCATGCGGCCAATCCTATCTATCTTCGACCTGTCTGCTCGATATATCTTGATATCGATCTGCTTTCGAGAACAGTCACGATTGAGCATTGGCGCCGATGCATGTTAATTCGCGCTTTATTTTTTTCATTGAGGATTAAATATAATAAATTTATCTTATTTACTATAATATTTCAAACTGCTGTTTGTCATCGCGTCCCATTTGTGCTAATGTTATATAATCTATTATATGTATATAATATTCTAGTAAGAAAGATATCTGGAGATTAATATTAAACTCACGATATATAGAATGGAATTAATTTTTATCATGGAAAATTTGTTTGAAAAATTTAGTTAAATATCTAAACAATATTTTTCAACAAGATCTTTCTTGTCTTTCCATTGGCTTCTTCAGAGAGAACGCGACGAATTCATAGACACGTCCTTAAGGATCGAAATGAAGTATATATCTCCGAATCTCGAGCAGAGTGCAATCTCAGAATTCGGCGCCTATGGCGACGTAGTAATAATAGCGTGATATTGGCAAAGACGGTAGGACTCTAGTATCGAGGGCCCATATAGCACGTAATCTGACCGCCACTATACGTGCGCATTATCTGGTTCTAGTGGCCCTAGAATCGCCTCAAATTTACCCTGACGATGCCTCTCCAGTCTTCAATAACCTTGTTTAAGGGGTTGATTACCGTCAGCGCGGATTCGGATATCCGTCGTGCTTTCTCTCTCTCGATCTCTCTTCTCTCCCATCTTCTATTTCTACGCGTCGTTTTCAACATAGTCATATAGTTTCTGTCTGCGGATGGTAACAGCTCAGGCCCGTTCCAATCTACGCATTTCGACTTGGATTACATCGTAATCCGCGCAAGAGAGAGCTTGACGAGCAGAGTAGAGCTTGATCGATAAATGCGCTCTCTCACGACGTGAAAACGGGTCATCCATGCAGGCGCGAATGCAAATGACGTAGGAGTCTGCGATGTGGCAAAGTGTCTCTCGCCCCTTTCTCCCCTCCCACAAATGCCGTAAGATGCGAAGAAAATACGCTATTGTCGATCAGAACTTTTGCGACTTGATTCAAGTTTTCGAATTTTAAAAATAAATTTCCAAATGTCGACAATTTTTTATAATCAAAAAGCTTGACAACGCGAAATTAATTAGTAAATAGGGCAGAGCATCTGAAACAAAATATTTGAATTTTTTTGTTACACTTACAATTAATTGTAAGTTAACAATAAAATTTACTCAATTTAAAAAGCGAAATATATTAATGTAAAGATTATTTTCGTAAAATTATTTACCTATTGTATAAAGTTTTCCAGAATATCAGATTTTTTAAAAATAGAATTATATCTTTTTAATATGGAATAATATATTTTTAAATTATTTGTATTTTTTAAATGTTTTGTCTTAAATATCTTATCTTCTATACTTTATTGAATTCAATATAGATATTAAGAAATATTAAATTTGTTAATTAAAGTATTTATTTTGCTGAACACAATAGTGTACTGTATTTCAATATCTTTTTTGTAACTGTCTTTATTTTCGTTGATTGTCTTTCAGTCGTTCGATTTTCTCTACGTATACTTTGTTTCAACGCTCTTCCTGAAATTTCAATTTCCTTGTTTTTTTCTTCTCACGCTAAGAAGCAGAAAGCGACGAAAACTGCCGCTATTCTAAAGTTTTAATTAAAAGATAGATGTGCTTTCGCGCGTGTCGTGATTGCCGCGAAGAATTTTCACCGACGTTGAAATTGTTTGTCATGAAAAGAACGGGTGCTAATTCCGTCAAATTTTCAAACGAACACAATGTCGTCACTTGTGTTTATCGAGTCTTCAAGACTCATCGCGCCTAAGTAAACTCAATTGAAATTAAAAAAGGGATACTTTAAATTTACGGTCCAATAGTGAATTGGAGTCTGCTATGGCGCAGAAAAGAGATGAGATATATTGAAACATGTTAAGCGAATTTTCACGAAATGAAATTTTAATTTTAATTATATGCAAATTTGGAATAGAAAAATATAATTATTAAAGACATTTGCAAAATAATCACTGTTCTTATACTATTAAGTTAGAAAAAGAAATACACAGAAAAGCTTTGAGGAGCTTTTGTTGCTTGAAGAATTGTACAACTCAGTTTCGCTATACAAGTTAAGCAGCGCAATAATACGAAGGGATCGTATTTGAGAACAGAAGGAAAGTAGTATATAGAAATGTAGTATATAGTAATATATATAGAATGCATGTCAGAATTTCTTTAGAGCTATAAATGCTTCGAGTTATCTCGTTAACGAAAATTAATTGCAAAGTTGCTTTTAATGTCGAAAATAAAATTTCTATAAACAAATAATTAGATTTTATTTTTTATATATCGATTATTTCAATTTCCATTCAGATTAATTTTTAACAAAAATTTTATTTGGAGAAAAATCAATTATTAATTATTCAATAATTAATTTTTTATTTGATACTATGTATATGGGAAAATGTAACTTTATACGAGTACGTATATACATTAAAGCAGAAATCTGATAAAAATTAGATTATTGGAATCAATGTCATTTAACCTTTCTATACAATAATTTCTATTTAGGATCTCAAAGCTTTGTAAAAATGTTAAAATGCTTTAGTAGCTTTCGAAGCTAAAGTTGATCCGCTTGCGCAAAGCTCATTTCTATATTAACTAACGAAGAAGCAAATTTCTTACGGGAACATAACGAACTTACACAGTCATCTACAGTAGTTGCAGACGTAGGAAAAAGCTGCTGAGGAAGCTGCAGAAAAGCTCTTCTCTCGACGACACTTCGAGAGCTTTTCAGCAAAGCTCACCGTCGGCTCGGCTCCTCGTGGCGTCCTTACTTTTTCGCAATCTTTTCCACTTTCTTATTTCTCTTCTTATTTCTCCTTTTGCACTTTTTCTACTTTCCTTATCGCTTTACTATGCATCAATTTCATCGGTACTTTACAACACAAAAACTCTTTAAAAAAATTCTTAAGAGAGAGTATTGATATAAGAGCACATTACTTGTTTCTTTTTTATATTCCACTATATGCATCATTTTTTAAGTTATTTAATATTTAATCACTCTGTTAATATGTCGGCGCATACTACTTGTGAATTATATTGATCTATCACAAATGAAAGCCAATTAATTTTAATCCACAACTTATAATAAATATAAGATGACCAATAAAAAGTCTCTTAGAAGAACGATTAATTATAAATTGCGTTACAATGATTAAACATTTGTCAAATAAATTATGCGAAACTGAGTTATACAATTCTTGAAGCAACAAAATATTCTCAAGCTTTTCTATGTATCTCTTTTTCTAACTTAACTAATAGTAAGGACGGTGATTATTTTGCAAGTGCTTTTAATAATTCTATTTTTCTATTCCAAACAAAAAATTTAGCAAATAAATTAAAATAAAGAGGCATTAAAATCATGCATATATCCAAATCAATCAATGGCAAATTTTGCTCAGAATCCTTGTTTCTCTGATTGCAGCTAGCGCTGACGTAGGCTTCGCGATCTACGACAGATACGCGGCGGAACAGATGGGTCCGCCAGTGTCGTACGTCGCCCATCTGACGGGCGCCCTGGCTGGTCTGACGATCGGTCTTCTAGTATTGAAGAACTTCGAGCAGCGGCTACACGAACAGTTACTCTGGTGGGTCGCTCTGGGCGTTTACGCCGCCTGCACCATCTTCGCGGTCATGTACAATCTGATGCATCCGGATTATCCATGACGCGAGGTCAGCTTCGCGTACGGCCAGCCGAGGCACACGTAACGCGAAGCTGATCGCCCATGGAAAAGAAAGAAGAGAAGACGGAGGAAAAGACGGGAGAGATCATCGTTGAGCTGCGAGGAAGATTGTCAGGTATCGCGGATCTTTCATAATGCGTTAGAATGAGAATTAGATGGTTCCTAGTGCGAAGGAACACGTGAAAATAAATACGCGATAATATCATCGACAGTCGTCATTCTCCTCGTCGGAGAGAACGTGACTTTGATTGTCCTCCGCGCGAAAAGGATCGTAATTTCGTAGTATATATTTTCTTCCAAGCCGGCCTGTTCGCGCACTCGAGAAAAGAGACAGAGCGCCCGTCGGGAGAAAAACGCGAGAAATGAGCGAGAAATAAGGTAATTTATTATTAATCGAAGATTCTAAAAGAAATGAGAACATTTTGTACGATGAAGCTGATAGTGGATACGATAGGTGACCGATAAATGCGATATATTCTAGGATGAAAGAGATACGAGAGAAGACGAACATCGAACAAACTTTGTACACTTGTTACGTTTCGTCTTCCGTTTTGCTTTCGCGGAAGAAACGGTGATCATTCGCATCCGCTCCACAATTTCGCGGAAGCTTTTTAAGCGCAATCGGGTTACTTTATCATAACGGAATGCGGATGATTTAGAAGGAAACAACAGCTAGACGTTCGTGTTCTCCTGTCATCAACGGCATAAGAGAACGTCATTCTTACAAGATGGACATCCCGGATTGTTTGGCACGATAAAAATGTCTTCGCGTGTCGTTCTCAAGAACGACAGAGCAACGCACGAGAAAAATATAGATATATAGGAAATATACTTCTTCGTCGGTCTCTGGAAAAAGAAAGTCGCGTGATCGCGTATCTAGTTGTCCGATTTCATCGCGCGCTCCTCTATACTTCTGAGAAAAAAAAAAAACCAAAGAACCAAGTTGGATGACGACGAGATTGGCCGAAAAAGAATCCTTTGGCGAGGAAATACTTCTCCAAACGGGGACAAGAATACGTCGAAGAGAGAAATTCTCTTTTACAACTTTCGTCCTTCGTTTATTTTCGCGTAATGTCGGCCGCTATCGTCTTCGGAAAAACCAAAGAATCTACTATGTAGGCAACGTTCGCTGTCCTTTGTCGTGTTGCTGAAGAAGTTTCTTGCTCGAAACGAAGGGATAAAGAAAGAGAAAGAGAGAGATTCGACAACAGCAGAAGTACAGTAACAGAAGAGACCAGAAGGAAGCAGAAAGATCCCGAGACCTAATGGATCCTTCGTGGTCGATGAAACATTGTACAAATGACCGCGGCGAAGAGCTACAGAGACGACGATGAAACAAAAACTACAGGGGCAGTCAAGAGAATTGGTAACCATCGACAAGGCCCCTCTCGAGACTTTCTCTTGAAACATTCGACTCGCGAGACAATTCGTGGATGTGGATAGAACGCAAAATTACAGAATGCGTGAAATTTGATGATGAAGAGAACTTGTGCTGATGGGAGATTTTTTTCTAACGAGACGAAAATAATCAGCTCTGAAGAAAAATTCTATATAGCAGGGACAAAAAGATTGCTAATTGGTTAAATTGCTAATTTCATGGTAAAATAAAAAATATATTACGCGAATAATTATAGCTCTCGCAAAGATAATATAGCATTTATGAAACTTGTATAATGATCAATTTTTTTGTTTGCATCTCATTATATATCTAATATTGGCTCGTTGCATAAACGCAACAAAGCGAATTTATTCTGAATTCAAAAGAAAAGTTTACTTCAAATTTCTCAAACTTTTATAATCATACTTTGGCGCTTATAGTATATTTTCTATAGATGCTTTGCGATTGCGTATTGTTGAGTCCGCATATTACTTTTGTAAAAAGAGAAAAGAAAATAATCGCGACAAAAATTCGCCACTATTTAAACATATACGTATATGTTATTACGCACTATAGATCGATCACTACAGAAGTACAAATTCATCGTATCATAAGATTTGCTTATAAATAACCGTTGCATTTTTTCATCGTAATAAATTTTCGAAGGATCGACGCAAAGGAGAGAAGATGCGTAAAATTTCAAAGAATCTTCCATTTCCGCTCGTGAAAATCAAAACCACCCCGACACGCATTGTCGTCGAAAATTTTTTGTATTGTATTGTACAATCATTGTAAAGAAAAACACTATTTAATATTACAGATAATATTTCTGGATAAACATTGGGGGACTATCAATTATATATATATATATATATATAAAAATCGAACGTGCGGCACTCGTGCTTCGAAGCGTTTCAGCGCGCATTTGCTATCTGAGTGTAGTGATTTTCGCGAGAGCTCGCGAGCTCTCTTGATGGGATGTAATAATGCGTAATGCAACGGCGATCAAACCTACGACGAAATAACAATCGGCCGATTTGTCGGTCCGATTTCGATCGCAAGCTCTGCGCTTTCGACAGTGGCCGCTCGTTAACGCTCGTCGTCGCAAAATTATCCCCATCCCCGACGGCGCATCTGTCCGCGCGCGCGATTGTTAATGCGCATTAATTGTATACCACTGTACATATCTGTATATAGCATATAGAAACTCGCTGCGTATGTATTTTGCGTGCGTGTAATGCGTATGTGTATTTTGTGCGTGTGTGTACGTATGAATGATTTACGCGAGCGAGAAGGAAGTGATGAAGGAGGCGCGAGACAGAGCAAAAAGGAAGGAGAACAAAAAAGGAGGAAGAAGAGAAGAGATAGTTCACAGAGTCACAGTCTAGTCGTTTCGCGTCATTGTCTCGTAAGTACATTAGATATACAAAATATATACATATTGTATTTAAATGGAAGAGAAGAGCCGCTCATGCGGCGCACATTCTCGGGAGAGCACGCTTAGTGTATATAGTCACACGCGACATATGTTCCTCACTTTTAATTTATCATCGTGTCTTCGGAATCGGATCGAGTGATTGGATCGCCCGCGCGACGTGCGACCTAAACAATAACTGCACCGTCGACAGCTCGTATCCCCAATAGCCACGTTTTTTAGCGTTCACCGCGTTATCCGGATGGGCATATTTTCACCGCGTATATTTAGTCGCGAATTACCCTTTATTTGATTTTCACCGAGAGAGATACTCTTATTTACTTCACATCAATTTTCGCGCTACAAAATCATCATGAATTAAATAGAATCAAATTTATTTCATACTATTGCATTATTTAAATTTGTTCTAAATAGAATCTAAATAGAAAAGGGCGAATCAATTTATTTATACAGTTATGATATATTAAAGTCATTAGAGTTTACAAAAACTTTTATTTATTCCACAGGATATTGAAAAACTAATTTTGTCTAACAGTTTATTTAACGTTAAAAATAATACGCGGTGATTGATAAAGTTCAAAATCGGAAGCTAAACGTGACTGACTAAACAGAGTTGCGAGTACGAGCCAAAGTTTGTACGGTAGTTTGTGGATAGTTGCGGTACGTGTCTCTCTAATATTTAGTTGTATAGATTGTTCGATTGTCGAGATAACTCGACACACTGCCTATTTTGTAATACGACTTAGCGCGAGATGCGCCTTTCATTTCCTCAGAGTCCGCCGTTAACCCGATTCGTGCGACATGAATTATTCCGTAATTAAACGTAAATGCTCCTTTTCCCCAGGTTTTTTTTTTTTGCTACGTCTCTCGCGAAATGGTAGTAATGGAAAAACGCGTTTGACTTCGCGTGCGTGTTCTTGTATAACAATTAATTAGCGATTATACATACTATCGTATTCCTAGCGATAGCGCGCGAACGTATATATATTCCGCGAAATTCTATATTTATTTTTCGTAAAAAGAGAGCCCAGCTGTCGTCGACGGATCCTCCTCCCGCCCGTGTGTACGAAAACAATTCTTTCTGAATATTTTTTTGAGGTTTTCTCCTCTGCTCCGAGAAAGCCCACGCGAGTGCCACGGGATGAAACGCGCAAAAAAAAAAAAAAAAAAAAAAACGTCAATGGGTCGACGACCGAAAATTATTTTCCCACGTACGCAATTTAGGATAGCGCATTTAACGTTTAAAGGAGAGAAGGCCGAAATTCTGCCCGGTGGGTTGGTTCTTCCTTGTTTTTCGACGGTGAATCAAACTAATGTATATTATTATTTATTGCACCGCGGTATGCGTAATGTAACACAAACGCTCTGATACACGTTATACCAAATAATATTAATAAGATTTAGTACGAAAAACAAAAAACAGTAATATATATATTATTATTATTTTTATTATCATTACTGTTAATATACCATTGCTATCGCATACTTTGAGGGAGAAATCATTTTCAATGTTAGCGTATGGCACGGCCTGAATATGGTGAAGATAGACAGACTTTGAAGATAGGAATTGTAGGAAGAGCGCCGAGAGGACGCGAATCGAGCGCAAGCGAGAGATCAAACGAGAGTAATTAACGATGCTAGTCAATTAGTACCCGCGAAGGCAGCTAACGCCAGATCCTAGCTTAAAGTACGACGGCTATCTAACTTGCTTTAAGGCGGTGAAAGAAGGTCGAGACCTCCCCCTCGAGTGACGTTGAAGAAGAAGGGTGAAGAGGAAAGAGCGGGAAAAGAAGGTAGCGGCTCTTAGGGTGTTTAAGGGCTCGAGAATATTGAGAGTTAGAGGACGCTGAAGAGCGTCTAAAGGTGGTCGCTCAAAGAGTCGAAAAGAACTTCGGTACCTGGCTGGTTGAATGAGCCAGTCGACTTGTGCGTGGTTGGTATAAACGTGAAATGCAAAACGGGAGCAAAAGTGACGCACCTAATTGTTGTGCACCACGCATGCACTCTGAACAAGCAGCAATTACGCTGAGAAAAGTTACGTACGAGTCATGGAGGGTGATTTATCGGGACCGCGAGTGTTTTCGATCGTAATCTCAAACGGTGGAAAAATTATATTTATTTTTCTTGCTTACAAGAGCAAAATCTCGAGATTTTTACTTTTATAGATTTCACAGCCTAAACGCGACATATTTACGAATATATAATAAATGAAAGGAACGATGAAAAATGAAATGAAATTAATTAAAAGATTAATTTGAAATTATAATTACGTTTGTTATATAATGTTCTTATGCGTAAATATGCGCAGAGGAAATAACTCGCTTGATTAACTCGTCGAAATGAATCGCGAAGTGAATTAAGGTTTTCATTTTCTATGCGCATATTTGTCGTTGAATCAATAAAGTCGTTGTTTCTCTCAGTTGTTATATGAATAAATATAAATTATCAAACGCTATTGTGCGTAATTGCATATTATTAAGTTTGTATTGATAAATCGAACGTGATTTTCGTTACGTACGACCGAGCCTTGTTAAATGTTTAATTCGATTTGTTTCGTAAATGTGGCAACGATTTGAGTTCTTTTGAAGTGGCCTGAACCTTTCATAACGCTCGATCGATCCGAACTTCCATTAATTACCATCGTTGTTGACAATAATTTATGCATCGATGAAATCCAGAGCTAAAAAGAGCAGCCCTCTCTCCCCCAGGAAAATCGAACAGGTGTCGATCCGCTGGCTATTAACATACCGGCAGTGAAATGCATAATTTAGGGACTTTATATAACATTTATGACATATGATTTCCATTTTATTAATCCACTGTCGGGTGAAATAATGATGCCAAAGAGCACGCGCGACGCATAATTATTTACATACCCTCGTAACTCGGACATGCGAATAAATTATACGTCGTGTCCCTCGCGTAAACCGCCCGCAAAATATGTACCTAAATACCGAGATGATGATACTTCGTCGATTATACGCCTAACGACGTGGATGGAAATCGCGCAAAGAGTCGTACGTGTATGTGTGCGAATGATCCTGTTACACACGAATTTTACACCGTTACACCGTTATTGCCGCGCTTGGCTGGAGAGAAAATTCGTCTCAAATTTTTGTCCAGCATCCAAGCATACTGGACCACCACTTTCTACTTTTCCCGCTCTCGTCACGAACGTCAAAACGACGGCAAATGTCAAAGTCGTTTCAAAATCGAATTTTCTTATTAACACGCATCTCTCACGAACCCTCTTCCGAAAACGTCACCGGGGTTTTGATCCGGGTATCCAATGAACAAAATAAAAAAAAAAGAAGAAAAAGTAACAACACATTGGGAAACGGCGTCTCGCTCGAAAAACTATCCGGACTTTAATTTACGCTCTGGCATTCGATCCGCGCCCGAAAGCTCGAGCTTAGAGGATACGGTATTACTTTTCTCTTTTTTATTTTTTTATTTATTATTATTTTTTTTATTTAAAGCAGTGTTCGTCGAGCTCATATAAGGAAAAATTATGCATATGCGTGCGTGTATGTGTACGAGTATATGTAATATTTAAATCAAATGGATATGTGCGCGAATATTATTATGTTTGCTGTAACGATCGAGCGATCGAGGATCGTGAAGTCTATGATGGAGCACAAAATTAACTCATTGGTTTAATTTTTTAATGAATTTGTATAATGGTTCCTAATTCAGTTTATTGTTCTATGCAACTTTAATTTAAATGAATACTATTGCAAAATGCATGAATTACTGATTTTCTTTTTTTTTTTTCTTTCATATAATATTCGATTCTTTCTAAATCATCTAAAGACAGGAGACATTTCATATTTCTATATACCTCTCTTGGAACTCATATTTTGATATGGGTTATCTCGTAGATAAAAAAATTTCCATTTAGCCGTTTTTTTTAATGCAATTTCGTAAAAAATAAGTCAATGGGTTAAAATGTGCCACGATCCAAGCATGTGCATTGAGGATACACACGAATCTGTTATGTATCGATATCTGCGAATCGAAATGATCGCGAAATGAAAAAATAATTAATTTAAACAATTTATTATTACATGTAATATATGTATTGTTATTTAATTAGCATATGAGAAAGGACATGTTACGTAGAAGCAGACCGAAAGTGCGCTCGAAATTAATATCGAATTTTAATATTAGTATTATATTTTGCGCCTATATATGTCTAATGCTCTAAGCGATACATAACGGGTCCAGCAGAAAAAACAGCGCGTGTTTTTTATCCCGTATCGTTTTTATTCCCCTGACTACGCGATCTTCGATCGAAGTGATTAAGCGATCGACTGAAAGAAACGCGATTCATTAATTTTTATATTGTGCGTGTCACTATCATGAAGTATTATTTATTTAGTGAATGTGGAGAGGAGCGTGCACGCGCGTGCGCCTCTCCCGGTGTCTGTCTGTTCATCATTTTGTCTTGTTTTTAATTAGTTCGCTTAATACAGCAAAGGCGCCGCCGCATCACAGACGCACCTGCGACCCCGGCAACACCTGTGACGGTCGACAATTTTCGGCGAGACTGACATTCGCCCGAAATATTTTCTAAAATAATTTCGCCATTAACTCGCAACTGAATTATTATTAAATTTATATTAATTTGTAAACAGTATGCAAAAAATACTACGCAAAATATTAATTTTTTTAGTGAAAAAATGAGCTTATGCATGTATATACACATATGTATACATTTAAATATTTTTTTTACGCAAATCAATATTCAGTATTGCTGAAAAAAATATTTAACGTGTAAATAACTCATTGATATTTATATATGTTATTTTTTCCCCAGACTATATTTTTGAATCCCCAGACTTTATTTAAATGTTTGCCAATCGACTATTGTTTTGGAATTATGATATTAATTTACAATCTCTGTGGAATTTTGGAAGAAAAATAATATGTTAAAAAAATTTAAGTGAAAAATAATACCTTAAAAAATTTTTCGGTAAGTTGAAGTTAAATGGCTAGTAATAATTTAACGAAGTAAAATTGTCGATAAAATATGTATTGCAAGAGTCAAACGTGCGTCTGTGAAAGTCTGAAAAGAGAATGCAGAAGTCGGAAAACAATCTTGCGTAGATACAAATGGGAAGCGCTCATTCACTTCGTACGTGAATCTGGATATTCTCTTTAATATTCTATATGAATGGGAAACTTTCTAATTAATCCTGTGCAACGTATAAAGCACTTACTAATACGAATGGAAAATATAATTAATCGTTCAGCAGAAACAATTGCGTTAACGAGTAAGTTATCATCAGTTTAGAAATTTTCTGTATGCGACTTTAATGATTGAAAAATATGATAGCTAATCGTAAAATTATCTGAGTCATGAACGCGCGTATGTAAAGTTAAATTAGTAAATTAATCATTTAATTAATCATTAAAAGTTTGCACTCAAACGGCAAACATGATTAAAATGTAAAACATCGCGACTAATTTTATGTAAATGTGTTCGCGCAAATAGTGTCTGCGCAATTTCTGTTCTGTAACAAGACTCTAAGATGTCCGATAACAAAAAGTCCAAAGACTCATAACAATAACAATGTGAATACACAAATGATTTTAGTAATAATAGTACATTAATAATTTATATTATATACAAACAGTCACACGTAAAAAATGTACACAAACCAAAGAGGTCGAACTAGTACAGGAGAGAAAGAGACAAAGAGACAGACAGAAAAAGAACGTATGTATGCGTGCGGGAGAGAAAGAGAATTCAACTATTTAATTAAATAATTATCGTTTAATTAATTATTGTCATTGGTCGTCATTCGTCATTGTTCAGTCATCAAAGCATCACTATTGTCATTCTTCACCAATTATCATTGTCGATAAATTCTTCTACTTATTATTGTAATCATTATTGTATCATTATACATATTGTACAAAACGTGATAACTATGAATCCTCGCTTAGATAATTCGCATAGTAATTTTCTGTACAACACATTCGCCGCGGCAGAAGAGAAATACAATGGTATTTAAAAAAAACTCATCGAAATATCTTTTTATACCTGTGTCCAAATAAAGACAATTTTATTGTACGAAAATTACTCTTACACGCACGTTTACTGTTAAAAAATTAAAAACTTGTTAATCCATTTAAATATTTGCATATTAACAATGATAAATGTAAAAAAATATACGTATTAATTTGTTAATATTAAAAACTTTTAAATGTTAGCTGATATTTAAAAATTTCTAAGTTTTCTTTTTTTAGATTCTGAAGTACATTTCATAAAAAATTGAGCATAAAGAAAAGTGTTTAATAAAAATCTTACATTTCTCATAGATTATATTCTACAAAGATTATTTTCACAAACACAGATTATACAAATATATATGTAAATATAGTGAAAATTTAAAAGAAAACCTTGCTGTGCTTAGTCAAGGCATCTTATTAACGATTCAACTCGTTCAGAAGAGATTCAAATCCGGTTAAGTGAAGACTCAAACCTCTGTTAAGCGACTCGAACTCTGCTTAACGAAGACTCAAACCCGCTTAGTGGAGATTCAAACCTCATTTAGCAGAGACTCGAATCCACTTATCAGAGATTCAAACCCATTGAGTGAAGATTCAAACCTCATTTAGTCAAGTCGCAAACTTATTTACAGGAGATTTAGACCTTAGCGAAGACTTAAACCTTCTTAGCGGAGATTCAAATTTTGTATACAATTTATAAATTATTCAAATTATATATCGTATTTGATGGATACATGTTATTAATACAAGATATGTTATTATTTAGTATAAACTTTTTAACAAAAGACAATATTGTTTAACTCTTGTACAATATGCATAATGTTTGTATTTATTTTTACAAATATATGAAATCATCAAGTCCATTAAAGTCACTGTTAATTTTTAATATATGTATAATAAAATATCAGAGAAATATCAAAAATATATCGTTATGATTCGATCAAGTATTTGCGAAGCATAAGCAGAAAAAATGTAAACTTATGCATTATTGCGCGTTAGTCGAAATAAATTTGTTATAAAACAAACTTTTTTAAAGAATTAATTTTTATTGTGAATCTAAGAAATAATTTATGTTACAATATTTACATATTTCCGGGAATATAAAGATGTATTGGATATAAAACATAGGATACATAAGTTTCGTAAGATAGAGTTTATTTCATAAACGTACAGAAATGTTCAGCCAAATATCTATCAATAAATACATATACACAATTAATTACTCTCTTCAGTGGATACTCTGTGATTATAAATCAAATAAAATACAAAATTATTGCTGAGTTTTTTCAATTCAATGACTGCAGAAAGAGCGCAGCGACGAGACACGTATTATTATCTAATCGATATATTAAATTATAAATGATCTTATTTTTATATTAAACTTTTGTGTATAATTGTTACAGATAAATTAGGTTTTATATAATGTAATATATTAATGTTTCATCACCGAATGTTGTATTTAAAAACTTGACAAAAGTTATTCGTACAATGTTCTAGAGAAAAATATATTCTTTTGCTTTTTCGTTCAAAAGATTTTTAACATTGCGTATTTAAAATGTTGATTACTAAAATTGAAATTAAACTATTGATTCCTCATCTAAGCGCATAATATCCCATATTGCACATTTTTTATTTTTTATAAAATTATGAAATTCTTATGAAAATTTTCTGGTGATCAGAACCGCAATCAGAAATTACTTGCTCGCGAGAAAGTTACTTTGTGCAAGAAAAAAAGACTAAAGATATAAGTTGACACAATCAAAATGCAAATTCGCATTAAGAAAAAAAATCGACAGCAATAAATTATAAAAAATTATATAAATCCAGAAGAGAGGGATAAATTACTAAATTAACAAGTCTAGTTCGAGTAATTGAGTGATACTCAGTCTAATATATTATAAAACTACAAAACTACTCCCTTTATACTGTAAAATATAATTATACAAAAGAGTTGTAGAGAATTCGTATATTATAAATTATAATTCCATTAAATTATGAAGGAATTATTCGAGTATCAAGAACCGCCACATAGAAAAATCTCGTGTGTCTATTTCGACACGTGTCTCGTCGCTCCCTCCTTGCTACGGGAAGTATAGAAAGGGAGTAAGTACTGATGTGGCGCTGATGGAAGATCATGATCACCACGTAGGTGTCGAGCTGACCGCGGTCGCTTTAGAGGCGGATGCCGCGGTTGGTGCTGGCCACGTAGTTGAGAAGCTCCTCGGAGTCTTCGCAAACAAACGGCTTCTCGTGGTAACACGCGACGTCATGCCAGGCGATGCCGTCATTATATACGTTGTTCAGGACGGCCAGGCAGGATTCGGTGGTGCCATTGATGTCGTACTCAGCATTGTCTGGTTGTCTGACCTTCTTGTGGCCGGTCTGCGACCACGGGTTGAAAGACCAGCCTGCCGGTGTCTGGTTAGTGGGTGACATCTTCTCGCGATTCGCCGACCAGAACCAACCATACAGGGACTTAGGCTCGAGATCACGTCGATTTTCGCAGCCCTTGAAGTCGCAAAGGCGTCCGGATGTCCAGATGTATGGAACATCGTCTGAAGGAGAAAATACAATTTTGTATGAATAAAGAATTGAGAGAAAACACCCGGTATAGGTCTAAAGTAGCAATTAAAGTAGAAATTGTATTTTACTTACTATTTTTTTAAGAGATTATTTCGAGAAAATTTACATAATCAAAATTAATTATAAGGTAGCAATTAATATAGAAATTTTACTTACTTTATTTTTAGAAGATTATTCGAGAAAACTTACATAAAAATTAATTACAATTAATTTTAAGCAATACTGCATGCAACTCTGTTAAATTTAAGAAATTATAGCTATATTATTATTGAGCATAAAATTAAAATAAAGATATATTCTCGTGACATTTTTGCCAAGACCGATGAATATTATACTCCGAAAAAGAAGAGAAGTAAAGGTAAGTTTTATGACAGGTTCTTGGGCGAAATCAACTCATTGTCAGTGCCATATTTTACTTTCGCCGGACTGCAAAAGGATTCATGCACCGCGTGATGCTGTTATATAAAAAGATGAGACTCTTTAGCCTCAACCCACTTCAAGACCCCGCATTACCTTGAAAACTGTCGTATTATACTCATTGACTCGCCTCCGTCGTGATGAATATCGTTCGTGACGAGCGAGTATCATCGTGCGATTGTATGATAATTGTGATTAAAGCAAAATCCAATAGATATGTTCCCACAAATTTCTATTAATTCATGGCTATTGATTAATCAATTTCCGTATAGTCATGATTGACATTGAGATTTTATTTCTCTCTAGAACCTTGATTAATCCATTCTTCAATTAAATACTTCGATTTTAAATGTAAAATAGCGGAAAAAATATTAGCGGATTAAAAAATATGTTACATGAAATTACATTCAAATCAGATTATCAGATATAATAAAATTGGACATTTTTTACAAGATATATCGAGCACAGCTTTACACTATTATTCAAACTTACGATCTTCGCTAACGTTGAAAGAAAACAAGAAGGAAGAGAGGAGAGAGAGCGGCGTGCTAATAAGAAGCGAGTAAAGCTAGGTAAATTCTAGATCCTTCGGTTAATTGCAATTTTACTCCTTGAGTGCACTTAAGTGCATCGCGCTGCAGCCGAAAGGTCGTAATGAAGAGGGAGAGAAGAGAGATAAGGGAGGAGAAAGAGGTTTTGCGGGGAACGCATCGTCGTTAATCATTCGAATTCACAACGAAGTGATGTTCCATGTCGGACCGCTCGTTTCGAAACATTGCCGAATGATTATCTCTCTCTGGATGAAAGTTGCCGCGGTAAACCGCCAGTGTCGATATCTACAACCTGCTACCGTCGTCGTCATTACGGCTATACGCCGTGTGGAAACTTTCTATTGCAAATGTATAAAAGGCCATTGTGTCACGGAAATAAGTAAATTTGTCTTCTTACGCTTTTCGATCGATTCTCAAAAATCCAATTCGGAAAGATTCGTAACTTTTCGATTCCTAACAAGTCGATACATCACTCGCGTGAATTCTTCTTTATTAGGAACAAAAACGGAGTATCTCCTTAACAGTGTATCTCGTACTTATAATTGGGATAGTGAGAATGATTCATAGAATGACGAGTACGTATAGACATATTTCACATACGTGAGTTCGAACATCATGCAATAAAGTTACTTACTCTGTTGAATAAGTTTGAAGATCATGTTGTTCTCTTCTTGGGTCTCTATCGAGACAAGATCCATACAATATTCCCTGCAAATGTTTCTACCGTCTAACCAGTCTCCTCTTTGATTAGCATGGGCTGGCACGTGTCCGCTGTAGAAATAATTGTGCCCCCGGAAATTAAACTGCTTCGGTCCTGTGAAACATTTTATTTTAGTACTATTTTATGAGAAAGAAAAGTTCCGAAAAAATATATATTTCGAACGTGACACATTTTTTGACAGAAATTTCAAAGTTTGACAAGAAAATAATTATTGAAGGAGCGTTGCATTTTTTTTATTTACATTGCACTGTGTCTATATAAATGAGAAAGATATTAGCTTCTCTATTATTATCACATACTATTCACATAGAGATGTCACCCATGCTTTTGCAGAAAAAATGGTAAATAGATGATTATATCAAGCATTGCAATCGCATTTTTTTTTCTATTAAGAGATACTCGATTCGCGATCTGTGGTTAATAGTTCAAAGGTGAAATCATTTGTTGTGTGCTGAAGTAATCTATAAATCTATACTTTTCGGGAATAAAAAATGTGTCTGTGGCTAAAACTGGCTACTTTTATTTGATGCTGATCCCAATAAGTCGCACAATTAGTTATTTTCATACATTTAAAAAATCGTAAATTTCTTGTAAAGGAAGATATTTTTGTCAATTCTTTGCCAAATATCAATGCGATGTTGTATTTAAATAACTTTTACCGAACGTTATTATCGGATTTATGCCATCTTGATCGGAATCGCTAAAGTTAAAACACGTTCGTATATTGTAGTAATTTACGAACAGGGAATCTGTAATCAGCGGCAACACGGTGGCGGCGCGTCATTATCGTTTGCTTTAAATGTCAACGATCTCTTATGTTTTTCCCCGGTATTTATGCAAGTATGTCTCTTCCCATCCACGATTTACATCGTGTGTCTCATCATGAGCGCCTTGCGCATTACGAAACGTATACTTATACGTATTATAGCTTTATTTGATATATATATATATATATATATATATATATATATTCTCTCTCTCTCTCTCTCTCTCTCTCAAGAAAGCAAGAGAGATATATATCTTTCGCTTTCTTGCTATGACATAACGTTTTATATTCCGCCGCGTGCGCGATCTCCTCACCGTGCTTTTTCCCCATCTCTTTCATTTTCTTTTTCTCGGTCTTCCCTCAAGTCGATTTGTCGAGTTGCTTCTATGTTCGTCGTGACATTCGTAACCCACATTTTGCTGTTATTACTGCACCGACATCGCGCGATTTTACGCGGTTTTAAATATGCTAGAAATATATTTTGTATACCTCTTCAAATATAATATTTTTAAGTGTAATATCTCTTCAAATATATCTTAAAATTGACAAAGATTCAAACAGAATTTTCAAAAATTTTGAGAGATATTGTAAAATTCAGTTTACAACTTCTATTGTATGTGAAAATATTTAAAAATAACTGATAAAAATAACTCTGGAATTGGCTGATATATTTGTCGGAATATTTTTATCAAATATGCTAGCTAAATAAAATAAACAATGTTGAGTTAATTATTGCAAAACCAGATAAATTGACTTTATATTACGAAATTCAATGTTTGGAAAATATTTCGAAACGCTATATGGATATACATTATAATATGCAACAATGTTTCTTCTACATGGTTCGTAATCGAAAAATGTAGCATGTAATATGTGAAATATGTAATTTATATTAATATTAATTAAAATGACCATGTTACGCAGTATTTTTGGCATCTTGTTGGCAATGGCGCTATATTGATTAATATTTATTACATGATGTAAGAAGTAGCTATTAAATTTGAATAAAACAAGAAACGATCAAGTGAATCTCCAAGTATCTACCCTACGTTTGACTGCTTACATGTCCTTGCTCACGAACGTTTTCAGTCGATTGATGATTTCGCCTGGTATTCGCCAAGGATTGAACACGCTAATGTCAAAGGTCGAGAACGCCGAGAATGGCAATTTTACAAACGGCCGCTATTCTTTACACATTTCTTACAATGTTGTAATTTAACAAATGATCATCTCTGCGTAACCGCAGCCTCGGTTAATCCGTAAACGGAATAATAACTCAGCAGAAAAAGAGGCACGAGTATGCTCGTTTATATCTCGAAAAACCATTATAATTTTATATGTGTTATATGAACTGTACTGATTACAAAAATACTTTAAACAATCTTTTACTACTGATATTTATTTTTATTGTCACTCACTCTTTGAATTACTTATCATTGCATTTCTTAGAGTAAAATAATAAATAGAGAGAAGATTTATATAAAGAAAATATATTTTCCAAGAAAGGGGTACTCCGGTGTGAATTTTAATTGAAATATCTTTGAACGAGGTTTCCTCGCAGATGAATCGCATTAGACAACTATCTGCTTGGTTAATTCAAGATTCGTGCTTAATTTGAGATTCTGCCGTAGAAAGGCAAAGTGCCATTGTGTTGCGCTTGTCGAGAAAGAACTGTCTGTCACACATAGGGTTTACGACATAGGACAAAGTCGTGATCCCCGTTGTCAGTATAAATTTAACAAAGATCTTATAATAGAAAATAAAGAATTCACGATTGTATCGTGCGTTCTGTTCATGGCGTTTGATAGCTGCCACTTGAATGCGTTTCATATAATGCTCTGATTATTGATTCTCTTATATTATCTTAAAGCTGTCCAATTTATGCATGAACATTGCATAAAGATTTAATAGTTATATTTCTGAATTAAAAAATTCAAGACGTATAAATTAACATGTATTACGTAAATAAACATAATATATATACATACATATTTTTTAAAATATATAAGTATTTAGAAATAATATATATAATATATATATATATTTTAAATAAATATATTTAAAAAAAAATTTTTTTAATGAAATATATAATAAATATATCAAAGAAAAAGATTGATATTTTTAAATTTTGTTTGGGTTGATACAGTTTATTATACGCCTTAATTTTGAAAATCAGAGATGTGATTATTAAATTTTTATGCAACACACACACGTGATTTACATACAGCGGAATCTCAAACACATATGTGTATGTGTGTGTGATAATATGCAAGTGAAAGAAAGGAAATATGTACAAATAAACAATATATAAAAATAAACAATAATTAAAGTCACAGTAAAGTCTATGTATTACATTCATTCTAAGACATAGTTAAATATGAATGACCATCGACAGCAGTAAAAAAGTTTTTAAGAATATTGACGATGAGAAAGTGATCTTAGTTGGTCCACGAATATTAAAAGGTCTATTAAGTAGCCATTGAGTATAATGAGAAATCACGTCACACTTGATTAATGGACAGACTGTAAAGACTCTTGCAGGAGTAATGTCCGGCATCGAAGTATATATTTATAAATAACACGAAAAAGAAAATACACGGCGTATATAAATAAATTTATCGCTATGTTACACAGCCGTCGTACTTAGAAAATAATTTACGCTTTCATTAATCGAAGTCACGTGAAGTGATTTCAATGGAGAAGACATGCAGTACGTTAAATGTAGAGATGAGTACTGTCGTCATGTGAAACTGACACTGTGATTGCATCGAACGGAAATCTGCATGTAAATATTGTAAAACATTATACAGTGGCACTACAGCTGTCATCGCATAGTTACACTCGACTAGATCGATAATCGATATCGAAACTTGCGACATAACGGCGCGATGTATTACATGATTACTTAGCTATTCATTGTATGATACAAAATACACAGATACACTAAATAGCGACATAAATATTTTACTAGACGAAGAAATAATGAAAGAAAGAAAAAGATTAGAGTTGTATACATATTTGCAAAAAATAGATGTATTATAAGTAGAAAGAATATATATTATAAAAAATAAAAATAAAAATAAAAATAAATGTAAAAAAATTATATTAATCTGTTAAAGCGATTAAGACATGTCTAATACAAGAAACTTCTTTTTGCATATAATTGTAAAAATTATATATTAGGATTCACACAACTGTTACGTGCCGCATAATATGTAAATGCAAACAATATTACATTATGTATTATTGAAATAACGGGACACAGAATGATTCCGTTTGTGATTATATCATCATTATATGCAGAGGATTTGTTTTCACGCTCACACGCAATGACGACGATGCATCCGCGTGCATCGAACAAAAAAAAACGTTTGCCTGTCGGATAAATGCAATTTATGGTCGTTATATCATCGTTCATTAAACATTTATGCCCTTCGCGCGTCTCACGCGTTTGTGTCAAGGAACTTGCCACAATAATCGCTTGAATTGTACACAGAGAGAATTTTCTCTTGTTAGAATTTAACCTGAAAATTATGATAATCGTGGGACAATATGATAGTGAAAAAATTTTATAAGAGTTTCTCTGATTAAATATGTACCACAATAAAAATATTAATATCTACTACAATAAGATATAAAATGTTAGATTAATATTGTGGTAAATATTAATCAAAGAAACTCATAAAATTGTTCCAATCCCATATTGTTCCACGATTATCATGATTTTCAAAATAAATTTTAAGAGAAAATTCTCTTCGTGTGTGAGCTGTTATTTACTAAAAATCATAATGCATAATATGAGTAAAACGATGTGTGAGAATCTCAAATATTATATATATATATATATATATATATATATATATATATGTTAATAATAGATTATCGAAAAACAAATATAATTTATTCTTTAAAAAAGTTTATTATTAAAATTTCAATCAGAGTTTCCGTGTCGCTGAACTCTCTTTCACGTCGAAATGTACAATGTTTTTCTTCGATACACACTTTATCTTTAGACAGAGAGAAAGTGGATTTCGTTAGTAATGCGACAGTGCGCCATCGATGTGTTTCGACAGCACGATTCACTTCCGGCGTCATCATTGTGGAACTAATCTCGAGGGACAAATCGGTTATTCGGAGGTAAGTATTGGCATCTAAATTGACGTTACTTTTCAATGATGGGGAACCTTTAAACGAGCCTCACTTAATTGAAGATATAACGAGCTCGTACATTAATGAGCAAGCTTCTCTTGTAAGTACGTTGTTGTAATCGCAACCGATCTCTAAGTAATTGTCACGCAAGCGGATGTCAATTGTAACTATACATTATGCGCGTGTGAAAAATTTGAATCGCGAGAATCGCATACTCTAAAAATTATGTGTCATCTTTAACAAGACGTAATAAAAAACGCGAGATAAATATTTAAAAGCGATCTCTTCGAGGAAAATATAAAAATTATTTTTTCTTTGTAATATTGTAAACAATTTTAATGTAATATAAAAAAAATAGTATATATTATAATTGAGTTTTTGAATTTTTCTATAAAACGTAGTTTTAACTATACACATTGAAACAAAAAGCTAATAATAATTTATTTATGTGTTATTGAAGGATATAATTAAAATTGATAACTAGACAAAGATATTCCCGCAACAACTATATCCGCCACAACTTATGCCATCTTATTGTCGATTTGATCAATATCAACTAGCATTAATTGTAATTAACATTAATATGTAAATTAATATTAATGTAAATAAAATTAAATTGCTTATCATATTGATCATTTCGTAATATAACAAAAAAATAGACAGTCAGTTAAGTAAGCTGCTTATCAATTCGATTATCGTTAGTGGAATCGTTCCAGAATCGAAAGCGCTCCACGAGTGAATTCGTCGGGAATCAATTTCTCGTTCCCGAACGGGATCAGTGGGTCGACGGTAAGTCGTGAATAAACAACATTCGAGCGTGGAGGCGAAGGAAAAGGAAACTCGTGGCTCTTCGCACGAGCTGCCAGGCGAAGGTGAAACTTTTTCTCTTTGCGCGACGGGTCAATGGGTCCCGGTACAACTCGTCTCGTATGGGGAATAACGGTTTTCCCTGTGTTCGTCTCTTCTTAGTTTTTGAAGGCAACCAAACATTCGATTTATAAGATAAATGTTTGATTCTCACAAAAAAATGTCCTAATGGTTATCCTTTAATCAGACTACTTTAATGTATAAAAACTTTCGCATTTCATAAAAATGTACGTTCGATTCAAATTTAACTTTTTTAGAATTGTGGAAGATAATTTATAATATTTAAAAATATCCCAAATTAAAATTTAAGAAATATATTCTTCTGTTAATTTTTCCGTTGAATTATGATTTTTAAAAATGCATACAATAGATTTATTTAAATCGTTACATTAATTGTTCAAAAGTATTCATACAACTGTTAAAAATGATCGTCTTCCGAAATTCTCTATAAAAATTCGTCAACACATAAAAAATTTTTAAATGTTTTTTAATTAATATATATGTAAATATTTTCATATGATATAAAATGTGTAGACGAATCTTGCAGATTCTGCTCGTTAAACGACAAGGGGAGATAATCTTTCAAGAGAGTGTTATTGTCCAATTTCGCAAGCATTTTCGTGGCGATGTAGCGTCGGCCTTTTGTAGAGTTGTCAGTCAGTCAATCTCACGCCAAGATTGCAACAGCTGATCGGTCAGCCACACTGTCATAAGGCGATTTAATGGCGATTTGTTAGCGACGGTCTTTTATTCGGCGTCAGTCGTGTTGCATAATTGTGATTAACAGCGGTATAATACGTCGATTAAACTTATACGATTGTCCATCTCGATTTTTTTCACGAGCTTGCGAAATTGTCCTTATCGCGCTTTCAAATCGATCGTGAGATGTCCTAAAATTGTTGTCACAGAACAAACAGTAGCATCTTGCGCAAAGTATTACATAGAACATTCATTTAATTAATTATCCGCGTGCATCATTATCTTAATTACTTATTAAGTCCCGAGGGTTACATTTAGCCTATAAAATAAAAAAGATATTATGTAAGCATATCAGCAAAAATTCATTCTTACTAACGAAAGATCCAAACCTAATTTTTAAGTTTTATTGTGCATTTTATAATAATACGTCATAATTTATGTATGAACAATTTGATGTAAGATAAATTTTTATTTTGCGCTAAAATTTGAAAATTGTATTGAATTACCGCATTTTCGTAATTACAATATGCGCGCGAAAGAGTAATATGGTAAAGCATGCGGACACTTAATCGCGTATCTTCACCGTAATAGCACAGTCGGACAACGGTTTAATAGGCCGATGGGTATTATATAATATCCATAGGCTAATACTTGTTCACATGTTATTCAACAAGCGTGTCATTATCGCTCATCTTAAGCGTAAGATATGCACATGTACATTACGTATTCCATTGTATTATTAACGGCTTCGCGATAATTCTCGTAAGTTTACAAAAATTAATCACGCACATGTTCCGTTAATCTTTCATCTTGATTGAGGAGGTTTAGAAGTTCTGACGCACCAAGATTTAAACTGATATTATATTGAATATATAATCCGTACAGAACAATGATGTAAGTCATATGTAATAAAGTGAATAAAAAATTATAATTATTTCGATTATTTTTGAAATTATTTTTGTATCTTGCTCCTCGTGCGTATAATTATTTCGACGCAACATAAAATGTTAAATTTTATTCTTCATTCCGTATCATTATAGAGATAGAACATTTTTATAAATTGCATATGGTATATATGTATCACATCAATGTTCGCGCGTAGTTAAACGTTTTGCACTTTTTCGCTGCACGTAACTGAGATTCGTGCCAGTTTTTCTGCTTGCATTCTTTTACGCGTGCGTGTCTGCATTGACGCTTATTATATATCATTTTTCTCGGCGCGAGCGCGAGGGAATCACGATACACCTGATTACTATTGACTTGGTCGCTAAGCTCTATCCTGCTATCCTGCCAGGGCATTCCAGGAGAGCGAGCATGCAATCGTTAGGTTGTTAGGTGATTGTGGTCGTATCCGAACATCATTATGTTGCACCATTGCGGCAAAGCCGATTCACTCCCACGACCTACTCGCGCCTCTCACGTTATTAAATACCGTGGAAATGCGACCATTTAAAATTCCGTATTTCTCGCCTTCTGTCTCCTCTGTTGCATTTTGACTCGCGAATGCATTGCTCTACATTTTTGCGCGGTTTTGCTTTCCTACCAAGAATCCTTTAATGCCTTCTATAATACTGAATATCTATTTCTCTCGTTAAAATGCATTTGCCATTTAGCGCTGTTTTTATAAGAAGTAAACTTTCTCTACGTTATGATATATAAAGGAAAAAACTAATTGTGCTAATCAGGATTAATCAAATCGCCATGTCAGTGCAATAATTTATCAGTACTTTCTTTATCTATATTTAAAGTTAAAGTCAGAATTATTAGAATAATTATATACTAAGATTATTAATAATTATCTTTGAAACAGGGATTATATTTCAATGAGCTGAGATTTAATAATTATAACCTGATGACATTAATAACTTGCAAGATATATCTTGCAAACATATATTATCATTTGAATAATTTGAATCGATGTCCTTGCTATAATGTCGTTAATGAAGATCTTACTGAATTAATCTGCCGCGTTACAATAATGTTTAAGACATCCTTTGTGAAAATTATTAGATCGTTGTCTGATTGAAGGTAATCCAGCGATATTTAACATTAGCAATGCGTTACAAATGGTTATGAACATTGACCAGGACTAATCAGGATATCATTACATTTAAGAAAATTACCACTGAAATGAGTAGAAAGCAAAAAGATGATTCTCAGAATAATGTAATTGTAGAAATTCAGTAGATATTTGTTACATTGCAGAAACTAAAGTGACATACTAGTTTAACAAAAAACAATTGTAATGCTCTTTAATCATTTTATATTGTACATTATTCTATTAATTTTTTTTTAAATATAGGCCTTTATATTACAATTTCCAAAATATGAATATATCGTATCATAAATGAACAAAGCATCTATGTATTTTAATCAGATTTTCGAAATTAAATTTACTTCACTTTAATAATAATTGCCTTCTACTCGCTGAGGCGCGACTGACTTCTTGATCGAGTGGCGCCGAGAAAGTGTATATCACAGACGAGATAAAGAGTCAGCAGGAAAGTTCTTCGTGCAATGATATCGGGAATATCCATTGGCAGTAACAAGTGGACGCAAAAACTGGTACCCATGGCGATTAAAAGCCACGAATGAATACCCGGGACGCGTGCTTGCATAAGAAGAGAGGCTCGTCTGCTTTTAAAAGTACACTCGTAGCTCGTGAAATTACGCGAGGGACAGGGGGAAAGCTTCTTAGCATGTATCAGCATTGTAACCTCGATTCCTTTGAGATGGCAATACCGTGCCGAGACGCACGATCGCCCCTTCTGCGAGAAAATAAAGATGAAAGTCCCGTGCCGCTGCGTTTCGCATTTTTTTAACGAACGTCTTCGCGCGGGTGATCTAATCGAAACAGGTTCGGATGGTCTCATGGGTGAAAATCTCTCTACCGTGAAAATTCACCGATTGACACGCATAAGTAAATCGTTTACAACAGTCTGTGTTTGTACAGTTAAGACGGTAAGATTATTTATGGGGCATCGCTGAATGATCTTGCGATTGCAAAATAACGCGAATTATCACACATGGCCTGTTACATAAATTATGTAACTATTCACTAATTGCCCAGACATAAGATTATCTTTGTCATAAATATTTTATATAAATATAATACATTATTGTTGGTTTATTACAACAAAGAGAATCATCGTAATAATTATTTCGACAAATTTAATATTGATTTAATTTTTTCCTCTTACCTTATGCAACGAATAAATCTCCTAGCTAAATCTTCTAGATCTTCTAGATCTCACGATATAATTATAATTAAATAACATAATGAGATTTTTGTGCGTTTGTAATAATTTTTATTTTTCGATTATTATTTTTTTTTTATTATAATGTGCATTATCAATGTTCACAAAAGATATAATATAAATAACGTTTGATACACATGTTAGACACACACATGTTAGAAAGTACTTACGATTTGCGCACTTTTGCGGTATTGGAAGAGACAAGAACCTTCCAGGTCGGTTATTACGCGGTCCGGATTCATTAATTGCCGGCTCGGCGTTGATAAACGCTGCGAGAAGCACCACAGCCAGCGGCACCAACATCATCTACGTAGCAGAATATTAAATATTAATGTTACATAATATCCAGTACATATATAGAATGATAAGTTAAATTTGTGATTTGGTAAAATTTTGTAATTTTTGCGACTGAGAAAATATTACAAATAAATTATTATAAATTATCTCGCTTTGATTAATGCATATTACGAATAATAAAATTAATAATATGCTTTTAAACTGTCAAGTCTTTTCTTTATAGAAAATTAGAAGAAGAAGAAGAAATCATAAATAGGGTATAATAATAAGTCAACAGTAAATATACATTATAACGCAAAATGCTTATAAATTGTTGGGCAAGTGTACATGAAATCGATAGATTATTTAAATATCGATTTAGATATTCAGATATCGCAATTTCATTGACTTATTACGACCGGTCGGTGAGAGTTTCCTACGTAATAACGTTGACATGTATACAGATATGCAAGTGAGACTCATTCCGCCGACACAAACAGTTCCTTTCCATCAGGCAGAAGTTTCTCTTAGGGAGTGTCTCCTCTAATAAAGTCGCAAGACAGTTTTTTATATATGAATGCCGATATTATCCGTTACGTTACATGATCCATCAAAACGCGTTGACATTCGATTGAAAATTTCTCCGACGAACATTGAAAAACAATAACGAAAGATCTCAATATATCATTGAATTTATAAATTAGAATAACTTAGGAGCAAAATAATATTTCAAAAATAATGATTCACAGTCTTTCAAACCGATATTTTTTAACTTTACGATATTTTATTCTTACATATATATTTTTGCAAATGATTAAAAATAGAAATTTAATTAACGTTGTTTAACATAATTATGATTTAGTTTATGATGTAGTCATAATATCATGATGTAGTCTAAATTTTAAATATCTTTTGCCAAATTTAAAAATCTCTTTATAAAACATAAAAAATATAATAGAAATGTTATTGTATAGCCGAGTGTACAAAACAAATAACATTTTAATTTGCAATTTTTAAACAGACTCTGTAAGAAATTCGATAATGCACGAGCGCATCGATTTTTAACAAGCATGGTTAAAAATTTAAAACTAGATAAATTATATACCGCTTAGTTCAATTTCGATGCTGTAGATAGAGAAAGTATATACTTTATTTTAATTATGCGTGGATATTGCAGCGATTCTGTTGTCACAAACGATTATAAGAATTTTCATCTATTCACAGCATCGAAATTTGAACTCACCAAAAATTATATTGTAGGTTTCAATCCTTGGATTATATCATCCGGATAATCGACACTCACCTTGTATCACTTATCTCTTTGTAAAGTATAGAAGACGACGGTAAAAGAAACGTGGTCACTGATAGGGAATATGGAGAGACGGGCACCTTCACCGTCGATTATATAGAAATGGTCCCCACCAGGCAGTAGACTCATCCCACCCTTCGTTACAAACGAAGGACCCAACAGAGGACGTTCAGATGAAACGAGACCTTAGTCGAATAATTAAGGGTGAGAGATCTCGTAAAATGATTTTCTCGTGATCCTGAAAAATGTGTGTCATCGCAATCGGCGCAATGGGTTATACATTTTTTCTTTTCTCGTTGGGCGCCAAATTTGGCCTGCCTTTAAGAGTTATTTAAAAGAACAGAAAGGATAGAAAAAATTGAAGATATTCGTATCCCTATTTAAATATTAAATTTCATAGATATAATTCTACCGCGATCAGGAGTATCGTTTGACAGTACGTCGAGTCGGTTGAACTCAAAGCAATCAAAGCAATCGATCACTGTTCACCTCTGGTTTCATCCACGTGGTTAATGATAGGTTGAAGTTAACAGCTAATAACAGTCAGAGTAAATTCTTTGTTCCCACAGCCATACCGGCACGATACTGTCGGTTACGATCGCCAATTTATAACTAATTGCTTATATTTAACTTTTTTACAGCATCAAACTTTTAACAGATTCTCGTGCTAATCATTTGATTCTAAAATATTCAGTGCGTGAAGATATATCTTCAAAGCTATATATGGCTAATATTTTAATTCATAAGTGTTTTGCCAAAAATAATCCCCTCTAAAAAGTGTCTATTAAAACATTCAGTCACATAAAATATTTTTATATTAAAGACATAATTTCACAAAATGTCTTTATTATCGTAAGAAAATTTTGAATTCAAGTGTTGTTATAAATTTGTTAAATTTGTTCCGTCTCTAAAATATCCTTTACTTATTGATTTAAGTTAGTGTAGAACTTCTCGTATAATTGGAGTTTCTGTTGGTTTATTTCAAGGTACTGTATCTGTTTATTAGAAGTCTCGCGTTAATCGATGTCCGGCCTAGAAAGAGCATTTTGTTCAGACATTTGTCAGAGTGTTTATAGATGCTGTGAATTCAAGACGAAGTAGACGTCGCAACGATAGCGACAGTATTGCTAGATGAAAAGACTTTCCATTTCTTTGAGTCTTATAACTTTAATGCTGTGAATAATCGGCTGTACGTATATTTTTCGTTTCATATGTTAATATAGAATCTTTCTGGACATGATGAAACAAAATTCTCTTTCTTTGACGAAACATCATGATGTTTGAATTCGTTTATTATTGATGGCATTTACTATATATTACGTAAAGATTATGTGTCTATATTTATTATACACATTATTATACACATATATAAAATATTTCTATATATATGTATAATATTTCGTATAATATAAATAAATAGAAAATATAGAAAATATATATGTTCATGCACTGAGTATTTTAGAATCAAATGATTAGCATGAGAATCTGTTAAAAGTTTTGATGCAGTGAAAAGGTTAAATATAAAATTCAATTTTTATTAATATGTGAAATGCAGTTATAAAATAAAATAAGAAACATAGTGTTTCTTTACATTTTGAAATCTTAGTTTGTTAGAAACATGATATTATTGGATATATCTAATCAAAAGTATTTTGTGCAAATGTAACAAACGTAAATATTATCTTTAAAAATGAGATTTCTTTTTCAGAAAATCGTCTTATTAAACGACAATATCCGCATCGCAAATTACACACAGTAGTCATCATCAATCGTGCTAAGTGTCTTATTAAATTATTGTCGTTCATTGTTTCCCGTGCGAGCTCAGAAACCTGTTACTCACTCGTATCAAGTAATTGAAATGCACAATAGAACAATTAACGTTCTCCATACAATTAAGACGCCGCCTATTCTTTTCGCGTGTCGCGCAGAATATTATCTATATTATCATTTTACCGCATTTACATTCATTTCAGGAAGAAAAGGTCGCGCTACCACTTTTGGCAATTTGTTGTTGTCTCATGGTAAGACAAGAATTTCAGGAGACCGAATTTTAGAAAACATGTCATCTGTGAGTAAAAATGGTCGCTCCAACGACGACCTTGAAGATGCGCATCGTCAACTTTCACCAAGTGGTAACTGTAGACAAGTAATAGGATAGTCAATGTCATCCGTGCTGCAACTCGCGGTTAAGATCCAGCGAGTGGTTTTATTCTCGGAATTTCCACGATTCTCGGTTGAAAAGTGAAGAAGGTTCCGGTTGTGTCAGACTGGCGAAATCTAAGTCTCTTTATACGGAGCAAATTGACATAGACGTGTCGCAGTAGCGATAATAATGAGTAACGATAATATTTGCAGTATCAATAATACTTGTGATGTTAATGGCCAAGCAAACGAAGATAAAAAATGCTGTAATCCATTGATTAATTTTGTATAAAGTACAATTATATAAATATATAAAATGCATAAATTCCATTCCATTTATATCCATTTATCTTTTATTGCGACATAATTGAAATCACGTAAAGAAAATATTTGCAGCAATGGTAATAATAGTATATGATCTTGCAGATTCTACCAAGAACATCTAACAAGAAGCTGGATGATAGCGCGATTAACATTTTACAAGACAATTTTATTATAGCTCAACATGTTTTCTTTCTCAGTTAAGGATAAGCCTTTCGAAAAAAAGAGAGAGAAAGAGAAGGGAGGAGGGAATTAATTTTATTGTATAATATTATTATAATTGATTTTTTAATTTATTATTTACACTTGAATATCGTTATAATAAATTCTCAGTGTTGTTGAAAATTGACATTAGAATATGTCGATAAAAATTCAAAAATAATGACTATAAACACAGCAAGGAAATAATGATGATATTAATCTACTTAAATATTGCATTATATGTAAATCCAAAGAAATATTCAAGGATATTGGCCGAACATTTGCATCTTCTCTTTCTCTTCTTCTGTAATGGTTTTCCGCATATTTGTAATTTCATCAAACAACTATTTTATTATGCACTTTTATGACATTATTATCTGCTAAAATAGACTACAGAAAATTGTAAACGAGTTGGAATTGGCTTATAATTTATTTGCAGTTAAAAATTGTTTCGGTTATGATTCGCTATGATAAATTTTCATTTATAGGAGTATTCTGCATATGCGATCGCATCGTCTTTTCGCTGATGTAATACTTTTATCAGCTCCGGTAACTTCTCGAACACCTGTTACGTGCGTTTGTAATAGCCGCAACGTCGGTCGGCTAAATGCATGTCTAACGGAATGCTTAAGATTTTCCTCGACCGTAAAATCACGTCACTAAGTGCAACTCTTCCGCTCAAATGTAAAAAAATCATTTTATAAAACAATAGATAATAAGATTAGAATGAAAAATAATATTGCTTCTCTTCTTATAAAAATTGCGAATTGATCATATCTTATTAAATAAAATAATAAACATGATGTCAAACTAAATATAACACACACAATTACATATAGTATATAAATAATAAATTTTATCTTCTTGCGACTATTTAAATTGCACTATTGCGTAATCATGATGTTAAACCGCTATATATCGCCATGGTTCATTGACATTTCAAATGGATTAAGAATATTAATGAGAATCATCCTTGGAGAACACCGAAAGAAACAGAAATAAAAGACACGAATACAAAATTTGCTTCCTTGAATGTTAGAGAATTATGTAAGATGCAATCAAAATAATACATTATAAAAACCATGTCTATATTAATGATTGAAATAATGACGACCTTGATGCCTTCCATAACCTCGAAGTTCAATTCAAGATTCGCTTTTGACACCACGATATTTACAAATTAATGCTAATATCGATTTTTAAAAATTGCAAATAAGAGAGAACATTGTTCTTGAATAAGAAAGTGAAGTTTGAAAAGTAAAAAATGATACTGTCCACGAAAGACAAAATATCCTTTTATTATAAAAAAGTTGTGTGCAACATTTATTATAAATGCAATAATTACATAATTGAACGAGAAAAAAATGAATTTAACAATAAAATGAGTTAGTTTTCAAATTAATACTATCTCAAAAAGGCCAAATTGTCATAGAATAAATATCAGATACTTTCATACTTATTTCAATTAAATTTATCGTTGTTTCTTGCGATGTATCTCGAGGGTCCCATTTAATCAGATATATCTTCGTCTAAGAAAAAATATTTATTTATCTTTGCGTTACTCAAAATGACAAATGCAATTTGACGCATCTCTCTCAGATATTTATTTTAAACGAAATATTTATTAAACTTAAAAAAAATAATGTTTCGCGATTTGAGAAAACATTTGTTTTCATCCTTCGTATCGTTAAATGTCGCCTGTACTTCATTTAGATTAAGTACACCCGTTTGCACGAACCTTTCGACGGCGATTCTCCGTATATGGCCTTGTTCCACGAAATTTATACCTTTTAATATGCAGACATGCGCGCATAAACGGCATTAACTCTAATGGCCAAGTTTGCGAGTGCGATAAATTTAATACGCTTTATTCCCGTCTGACACACGTGGAGGTCGACGCTTCTTATATGTGCGTAGTCAATCGTAATAATTAATACGCGTACGATACGGTACGTGCCATTTACATGAATTGCACCTCGTTGATGCAATAAAAATGTCAAGCGATGCCGTCGCTGATATCCTGACGGCGCTTTTCCCGGTTTGAAATAGTATGCGACAACTTTGCACAACACATTGCGACCGGCCGAACAATGCAACGCGCAATCGTTGCGAAAGATTGTGCGAAACGCAACGTGTAAGACGAAAAACGCTTGCAAAAACCAAGTTCCGTTTGAGATTTATCGCGCTTTTAATAGAAATTTTATCGGTCATACGTTCGTTTGACTTTGACTCCTCCATCAAACTAAAAATAGCAACGTCCGGGTAAGATAATATAAAATTTATTCCGCATTTTATAATAAAAAATTCCATTCGATATAAATATTCGATAGTTGAATTTAAATTACTTAGATTTAAATGTCAACGTTTGCAACCTTAACTACGTAAAATTATAAGCTGATAAGTGCAGATTGACAATTCAGAATTGATAAGACAAAGTTGACACGTTTGAAGAGATAAAAAATATTTAATATTTAATATCTATATTTTATATTTTTTATTTATCATTTTACTTATAAATTATTTATTACATTAAATAAAAATGCAAAAAAGTAGTTACGAGCATTATAGAGTTCAAAAGATGTTGCAAATTAATTTTGAAAAATCCGATAGTGATGTAGTCACTTTACGATGAAAGCCATACTTAGACGGCAATTTTTTAAACTTGAAAAGATGAATTAAAAAGTAAAAAGAAATAAAAGTGAAACATGAATCAATCAAAATCTAGGTAAACATCGAAGTCTAGAATTTATAATAAAACATTTCGAATTTAATTATTCAAGAGAAGATTGGTTGATATAAAATAGTTGTTTGTTGCACATTTTCGAAAAATTGATTTACATAAATCTATGGTTAATTCACACAGATGTATAGCGTAAAGAGTTTGTCGTTAAGCTGCCAGATTAATAGCGCAGGGTGATACATATGTGAATATATTTCCATACGAAATATCTACGCATACATATCGCTTTCAGATTCGATCAAAGTCAAATATGCGAATATCGAAGAAAATAAATGACGTCATTAGAATAATGTAATGTGCTGCATAAGTTTTATATCGTTCCTTCTCTTCTGCCATTTTTTTGGCTTCATCAAAAATTTTGATACCCGGGGTTTTTGCAAACATTGTGTCACACTCTTATCCTTGTTGATTGATTATATTATTAATATTGATTTTTTTATACAAGCCATTGTAAAATCTTATATAACTGCTTCGTGTGTGTGTGTGTGTGTGTGTGTGCGCGTGAGTGAGAGAAAGAGAAAGAAAGAATACAGTTTCCGTGTTTTAATATCTCATCACTTGTTCACTAATAAAAGTGTAATTGTTCTTTTAAGAGATGTTTTTATAAAATTAATGGCATCATTATTTGGACAGTTAATATTATGTGCTTAGTTTCTAAAGTCGTAAATCTAGATAATAAACATTGTCCCGAGACAATGGTGTGAATTATCATGTATCTCGATATAACATAGTTTTGCCGGTGCATTATTACGAAAGCTTGTGCTAGGATTCACCGTTTCCTTCTTACAAAATTTCTCGTGAATTGCCAAATCTATTATTTTTCATTAACATAACATGTAATCGTCGCAAAAATATACGAAACGGCAAATATAAGCCATATATTCTACGTGATAATCGATATTATAATGTAGCAATTAATTTATCGATAAATAACACACTTCTGTGTTAGAGAATCTGCTCTAAATTGATAGAATTTTATATATTTTATTGCTGTCACACACAAACACATACATACATGCACACATATCGCTCATTATTAAGAAAAAAATATTATTGCATTTATACATTACTTAGAGTTTCTACATAACAGGTACATTTTTATTATCTTGTTTAGATTGAAATTTAAACGTAGTTTTCACGAAAATAAAAATTAATTAATGCAGAAGAGTTTTATTGTGTATTTTACATATTCACATCTATAAATAAAATATCTTTACATACTTTTGCATAATTAAAATATATTTGTAATTTATGTATAATTAGCGAAAATTATATTATAATTTTATGTATTTTGTAAAACTTTTATAAAAAGAAGAGATGAATTAGTTAATGCTTCAAGTAAATAAAATTTTTTATCTTGATTATCTGCAGATTAGTATTATTATTTAGATACTCTGTTTTTCCATCGTTCTTTCTGTCAATCAGCCTTGAAAAATTGTTCCAATAGTAAGTTGCACAAATATTATTCAGTGGCAATATTCTCTCATATATAGTAATTTTGCATTATTATTCTCGTGTGTTTTTCTATATTGAGATTGAAAATGTTTCTCATAGGCAATGAGGACAGCAGAAACAATTATTATGAAAACCACATCTGGACTGTTACTTGATGATCTCTCGTGAAGTAATCTAAACTGGCGCAAGATTCGCCAAGGCTGTAAAGGTGGATAGTATTTTGTGTATGTGAGAAATGAACCACTTTGACAGAGAAGAAAGTTTTCTTCATACATTCAGATCTTTAGAAACATATCAAAATCGATTTCATAAAATATGGAATATATAAAATTCAAATTTAGAGAGATTCACAATATTGTAAATAATTGACAAAATTTGCGTTTTTCAATATAAACATTATAATAGCAAAAAGATGAAACATTAGATTTTCTTATTTTTTTTTTATATTATGTATTATAAAAAAATAATATAAATATTAAAATTTTCATTTTTATGACATAATTTTTATCACATATTTGCATAAATTATATTATCGTCATAGATCATCTCGCAAGTTTAGCAATCTTTCGAAAATACACATCGT